GTTCTTTTGTGTCTGCGGGAGAGCCATCCGAGTGACTAATCTTTACAGAAAACGATTAACCAATATTCACAAAGCACTCACTGAATTCATATGCAATATCACAAGAGTTATACGTTCAGCACAAAACTGACAGAAGAACTGGGAATGACCTTTTCTTCTTTAAAAGACACTCTGATTTCTTTCAGTCGTGGGTAGCACTCATTCTTTCCTTCTGCATTTGTGAAATACTGTATGCGATCACAAAGATGAATTTACATGCTAAGCTCATGTGTGAATGTACTTTTATGAACCCTTATTCACTACAGAATTACATTTTTTATCCTGATAACATTTTCCGCGACATCACCTAGCATTACCTTGAGTGCCAAATTATCCAAAGATGGAACAAAAGACATGACATTGAATTTATCAACCACATTTTGAATACTACAAACTGAACTCTCCATCTCCTTCAACTAATTCAGTGCTTTCTTCAGTTGAATATAGGAGTGTACAAGAGATTTGTATGTTTTACTCTTTCTGGTTGAGCACTCTTTAAACAAGGCTTAAGGCCATTTGATTCACTCATGGAGCATTATTCTGGTTATGCACTCTTCATGGAAGTGATATGATTTTAATTCTTCGGAGGCATCGTAATGGGAAGGTCAAACATAATTCTCAGGTTACCTAATACTTTGTTCTGCAGAACAGCAAGTAGAGGATTCAGGCCCGTTCAGCAACAACTGTCCCAGCATGATGTCTGCCAATGTTTTGTTGATATGGACGTTCTGCCTTGAAAGAAATACTTACAAGCTACCTACTAGATTGTGAAAAGAGATCACATATTGAATCGATAACAGTAGTCTGGGCTCAGCTCTTGTTCAGATTTGTCCAGATTATAGTAATAAAATTAAATGTTTTGGTATGTTTTAATTTATGTTTGGTGGGTAACTTTGATGCCTCCAGCTGGTTTGAGGTTCAGTGTAGAGCCGAGATTTAGGTCATGGATCTCTTTTGTGACCTGTCCTATTTTTTTTATTCTCTTATATCATTACATTTGAGTGTATTTGCATGATTAGGATCAATTGATGTTATGGCCCAGTCATTTGGAATTTGACTTAAAAGGTAAAACTATTAATTAAAAATAAAAAACAGTGTTATTGTAGGGTGAAAAGCAGGTTTGGTTGGGTATTTTAGATTAGAGCAAACATACACTACATGAGGAAAATGTCTGAACCATAGTGATATATGGTTTGTTTTTCACTTTTCTAGCTGTGTGTACATAGCCACAGCGAGCAGAGGATGTCAGGCTATTAAAAACATGAGGGCAAGTGAAGGATAGCTATAAGGAAGAGAAAAAGGAAATGTGGGTTCATGTCAGAGAGCCAAATAGCTTTCAATACCCAGACTGACCTTCAGCTTACACAGAAGCACACACACACTGATACTAATGTTCACAGGATGTGACCATAAACCATAATGGACATCCCTTATTACAGGGAGTGAGCCTTGGCTGTATGCCATTTTAAATGTCACAGACTCCTCCACAGGCTAATGACTGATCAACCTGAGTTTGCATCTAGCGTAGCCTAGCATAAGCCAACTATAAAACTGGCTGGAGAGAGCGGCGGCATCACATGTTTGATAATTGCAGAATGCATCCAATAATGTTCATCCACATGCAAATGTGCTAGCTTTTCCGACCTTTCAAGCTTCCAAGTGTAATATGCAATATCACTACACTGTCAGTGTAAGTCGGTAAAGCAAAGTGTTTGCTAGTCTGCAGCAGCATCAAGCATTCAGCTCATTTGTTTGGATTGCCTGCAGACAAATCAAAACAATTCTCATTCATATAAAAACAAAAACAGCTGCAATTTCCAGGCACAAAATGCAGATGAGCCAAAGTAAAAAGTGGCAGGTGAAGAAAAACAAACCTCCAGCAAAACAATAGGACGAAGATATATTTCACCACTGGATAACAAACAATCAGATTAATGTTCAATTTAGAGTTTAATACATTACATGCTTGGTTTTGATGTTATTTTATTGTGTTTGGTGTAAGAGTAAACTAACTTGGATGGGGATTACTTAAGTTTTGCTTAAAGGAAAGCATTGTGTAGGAATTTGTGGCACCTAGTGAGGTTGAAGAATGCAACTGAACACTACTCACATCCGTATTTGACAACCTGGAAATGAGAACGGGCTCGGGTGTGTAGGAGAAATTACAGTGGCCACGAAACCTCGTGAAAACCTACAGCTAGTGTTTGGTTTTTCCATTGTGTACTGGCTACTGTGGAAACATGGCGGTTCAACATGGGGCACTTCATGGAAGAAACGCCGGGGATGTAAATAAAAACCAGGACTGAAGTCCCAGCAAACATTTGACAGGTGGAGACAAAAAGGACTTAAACTTGATTTTTGTTTGACTTTTAAACTGTTAAATACTCAATAACCTGATAGTTTGGAAATATCAAGGCTCATCGCTGTTAACAGTTCATATTCATGCTCCCACTGGCATTTTCCACAACACATTTGCTGAATTTGATTAATAAAAGAATCAATTTTAGAAGCCACATAATGCAACTTTTACATATTACCAAAGACGGTATCTACCACATGAATGTTTAACACACTAATGGAAAAAACAACAATTGTCCACGTTATGTAATAAATCACTGAGTCAGCTGAAATGAGTGGAAAGGCAGGGAACTGTACCCTTTTCTTTCTCATTTTGATGAGGCATGAGATGGTTTGCAATGTCAGTGACAAGCTGATCTTGTCAATGTAAGCTGCTGTGGGAGCAAAAAATTCTTGTGCTAAGCCCCCTTGAGTAAGATGAGCGGCAATGTCTTGACCCGTGAGATGCAGTGGGAATTGAGGTGGAAGAGGGGGCGAGAGAGCAAGAGAGTGAGATAGTGAAAAGCTAGCTGGTGACAGAAGACTCAGACATGCTGGACTGTGTAGGTCCAGTGGGTCGGAGTAACCAATTCAAATACCTAGCTAATGTGTACAGCAGGGAGCAAGTTGTGATCATTGCACACTGCATGAAAAAAGCATGCAATGTACAAAAAAACTGACATTATGCAATGGGACCTGTAAATTAGTCCAACAACTCAACATATATGATGATGTATGATGTATATTATAAACAAATAACTCATTTTATTAAAAGATAGGTAAATAACTACTGCATAATGAATACACTTTTGCATTTGTTATATTCTGAAAAACATTTTTATTTAGTTTTATTTATATAATGTAATGTAAAAATATTTCAGCTTTATCTATTTATTTATTTAAGCTTCATGAATTAAAAATTGTCCCACACCCAGTGTAGTATGCACAGAATGGTCATCTGGTGTCTGTGAAATATCAAGGCTCTTACATTTGTTATTACATTGAGATTTTGTGTTACTAATCTTAGGATATTAACTGTTAGTTGAACTAAACTTAGAACAGCAGTCATCAGGCAGCACTGCTAAACCGTCATCAGAAAATTAGTGGTGGTGGTGGTGGTTGTAATGGCGAGTGTGTGTAGGTTTGGCTGAGAATAAGTATATCAAATTACACATGTGAGAGCCAGTGCTGGAACAAGGCTGGGAGGCAGTTGGACAATAAGGAAGACAGCGAATCGTATTGTGCCAATACATCACTCGGCAAGCAATAAAGGTAACCTACTTGAAAATACTGCTGGTATGATTTCTTTATGGACGGTATAAATGCAAGGTCATCCAAACTAAACCACAAAATGAAGGCTCATGTGTTTCTATTTTGTGCGAGACAGCATTTGATCATTTTCCAGATTACAAATCTGCTTCAGTGTTTGCGTGACATCATAAATTTCTCCCTTCTTCTGGAGAAAGTTTTGAGTTGTCACAACTGAAATGGAAAGCAAGCGACTGCAGGTATAGTAAAAGAGAAAAGAATACTAAAGTTTATTAGTGGCTTACATTTTACTACTGGAAAGTTAAACAAAGCCACCAATAGAAAGTGACCTGCTGATTCATAAAACCACAAGCTCTTGTATGTTTAAATAATGTAGGTACAGCTTATCCTACAGCAATCTGTGCCTCCGACAGCGAGCCTGTAGCAGTGTGTCAGCATGTTTCATCAAGTTCAGCCTTTTATTCAAGACCATTAATTCCAGTTAGAATTAAATGTATGAACAATTTAAGACTACCTGAAGGTGAAAATGAAAATAAAAGTGCAGGAGGAGAATTATTTTTCACTCCCAAACAGAGCCTGGAGACTTCAACAGTAGTTACAGACTTTTGTATTAGTAATCAAATTCAACACATTTTTCGAGAACTGCTGACATCCTATTCAACAAGCACTTAGTTTCATTTGTCACCGTTAAGGTCTATGCGCAACCTCTAAAACGTTTTTAACTGTTCCTCCTATTTACAAAAATGGAGACAAGGTCATCATATCCATTTTAGGTTTTTATATATATTAAAAAAAAGGTACAGCTCCTGCTACATTTTACCTTGCGCCTCTCAAAAAGCCTTCTCCATCGATCTGGAAAGATCAGAAAGAGGCACAGCTGCATACACAATCCTCTCAAGTCTTTAGAGGGTTTTGAAATATTAACAAAAGAGCTTGCAGGTACATCATTTTGCAGCAGCAGCTATGGCAGCAGAGGGAAAATGTGTTTGAGTCCTATTATAAATCACACAATACAGCAACAACATTGCACATCCAGGCCTAGCTTGTCCCCCAGGCAACCTGACAGCAAAATCCCGTCTTTACAGATGGCTCTCAGAGAGGATCTGTGCATGTGTACGTGGGAGAACACTTTGTCTGTGTGTGTGTGTGTGTAATTTTGTTTTATTAATGAACATCTAGTAATCAGAGCCAGTGCCTAGCATTATAACTCTTTCACATGTCCATTTATGTATGCATGTGAGCATACAAGTGCAGATGAGAAAGCTGATAAAAAGTAAAGAAATAAAAAAACCTTAGTCGGCACAGGCTAATTTCATCCACTCCACTTCCCCTTACATGAAAGAAGTAGGACTTACAGATCTTGTGCTTTCCTTTCATGGGGAATTTCACCAGCAGCTCCTGGGGGTTGGTGCAGATGAAGACGAATGGGGAAGAGGACTCCTCACAGGTACCAGGGAACTGCAGTGGTGGTGGTGGTGGGGGAAAGAAAAGAGCAGTTTAGCATCATCTTACACAGAACTAAGCATATTGTGCACAGAATATGTTAAAGCTCATGATGCCTGGTATCACGGTTATGAATCATTCAGTGAGCGTCTCTGTTTATACACCTACATAATGCGAGGTGTCCTCCATGCCTGATGTAATACTACATGCCGTGACAGCAAATTATACAAGTCTCTCTGGATCTTATGCAGTAAAATTGCACAACTAATGATGCAGTTGCTAATGAGAGAATCACTTGCACTAGCTGTCAAGATGAGATGAAATACGTTACAACCAGCACCAAAATCCAAGAGATGTAAAGCCTTTTTTTAGATGCAGTCTCGAAGGTAAACAGACAATATTGAATCACATAAATAAAATAGTAAAGGCCACATGTACACTATTTATGTTTTCATCTCATTACACATATAATCATTAACTTCTAACATAACTCATCAAAAGTATACTTCTAAATCTACATCACATTTAACCACATCCATGACATGTTTATGCATACCCTATAACATGCTATACCACATTCCTATGAAGGAGAGGGTGTTTTACAGCTCATAATTGACAGCAGCCCACAGCATACAGAGGCCACGAGACAAGAGAAAACCTCTCTCTCCCTGTGTTATTGATTGGTCTCTCAGGTGAGAGTAGGGAATTGACTGACACAGTGACAAAGGAGTCATCTTTCCCATCACTGGCAGCCAACGGCTCTCAGCTCATCCAATTTCCTCCGGCGCTATCAGATAGTGCCCATGATTGCATCTAGCCAGCCAGGAAGCGGCTCTTTTCATGACAGCATGCTTTTTCCTCCCCCCCCCCTCACTCTCTTATTCACAGTCGCTCTATCTCCCTCAAAGGAGCACTGAAGGTTGTGACAAATTTGGAGCTTTTAAGGGAAATCAACAGAGTCGGCAACCCATCTGTATGGTCCCTGACAAACTGGGGAGAGATGATAGAGATGTTTATTTCAGATTACAGTTCATGTCGACTTTAGTGTAATACACCGGTGAGTGATAAAATATGTAAACACTCAAAGTCGTTAGACATTGGTGGGGACCCTTAAAGAGCCCCTTGATTCCTCCTTCCAAATAACACAGTGATACCAATTAAATTAGGTCTCCCCGTCAACTATGCAGTCTCCCAGATAGAAATCTTTCCCCGACAACCCTTGAACAACACTAGCTTTGAAGTGGGGTTAAACGAGACGAAGGTTGTGAGTTATGTAATGGGATGAGGCTGGCAATATTCTACATTTTTTGTATCAAATGTCATCAAATGCCATGAAAACATTACAGGTGCCACATCATTGTCTTGTAAACAAACAAAGTTTCTGTTTCCATTCAGCATTAAACCATTGTGTGATGTGCGAAACCATGTGAATTGTATCCGCCATGTGCACGTGCATACTTCTGCACGTGCACAAGAACAAACACAATGGGGACTCTGTCTGAAAAATAAATATAAATAAATAAATCACTCCATGCTGGCAAAAACTCCACAGGCGACCTTTAAAACCAACAATGAATGTATCTTACAGTCCAACTATTGACTGAGGAGATGAAGCCTCATATAGCTTTACAGCTGAAACAATTAGTCAATAGTTGACTAATCAATTAGTCGATAACAGCAATGAATTATCAACTATTTTGAGTAATTTACAGTCAATCAATTGTTCGTATTTAAAAAAAGCGTTTTAGATTAGTTGGACTGTTGGTTGGACCAAACAAGCAATTTGAAGATGTGACACTTGAACTTGTGATGGGTACTGTTTAATAATTTCTGACATTTTTTGACTCAACGGTAAATATAATCAACAGATTGGTCAATTATGAAAATAAGAATCAGTTGCACGCCATAGACCTCCAGTGTTTCTATAACACACCGTTGCACGTTATGATGAACACTGGCTCTATTTTGAGTCAGTCCTCACTATTTACTCCTATTTGAGCAATTTGTGCTAAAAGCTAGGAGAGCCCACTGTTACAAGAAATGATTCAGCCTTTTTTCAATAAAGAATCTATACACGTATTCATGACACATTTTTTATAGATTTATGTCTTAAGTAAGAACCAGTTGGCTTCAGGCTGGATGCCTCAGACAGGATAGGGAAGTAGAAAGTAGAATGGACTAACACATTGTTGGCTTTGGTCTTTGAAAGGGAAAAATATGGAATAACCTCAGACAATCACTGTATACCCCAATTCATACAGCTGTTTTCAGTTCATAACAACTGTGGAAGAGTCCCACTGTAACAATTAAGACCGAAATTCGAAAGAAGGAATACCTTCTTCTATTAACTAGCCAGAGGGGACATTCATTTTCACCTACACAATGTAAAGATCGATCCTGTTAACTGTTAAGACGATGCAGTGCTTCTCAAATAGCTTGCTATGTTGAGTAGCCTAATTGAGTCTTCATTTAAATGTCCATATCAGGCACTTAGAATGACACTTTAATCCCATTTTAGCATTGTGCACAGTGATTACTTTTACAGAACCATTAGTGTCATTCATTAAAGGATATATATATAAAATCTGATATTATTCTGTGGTTTACTGGTGATGTGATTGGAGGTTGTTAAATATTTGTCACACATGTATCCTATAGCCCATTTCTGACATGAACCACTCTTAATTGAATGCTGTCAGATTATTGTAAAGGCTGCAGTTCAACATGCAGGGAGAGAGAGAAATGTGAGTCTCAGGTCACTGCAATAAATGTAACATCTCACCAACATCATCTCTTATGCACAAAATCTTTTTAATAAACTAGGACACTTTTAAGTTGTTGAGGAGATTAATATCTTCTTGTATCAGATCAGTGAAGATGACCTAAGGAATAACAATACCAGCATGTCCTCTCCATATTTTCAATTTTTCATTCATGCCAAATGTTGAATAAATTAATATCCAGCCAAACACTTTATGCAGAATGTGAGCATGTTAATTAAACTAAACTTAACATCCTGTCATTCAGTGCTAGTGCATCACACCAATGTCTGAATGAGAAAAAGCCATCATTGATGAAGCCTGATAAGTAATGTTATATATTCCATGTCTGAAAGGGGAAAAAGCACAAAAACATTTTTTTTACTGAACTATACTCATTAATCAGTTATTTGTCAATTATACTCATATTTCTATGATCTAAGAATAATCATCAAAGATGTTCTGGGAAAAGAATAAAGAAGACAGACAGTATTTGTGATTAAAAGTGCAAAGAAGAGATGATTCAAGAGGAAGAAAGTAACATGAGGCACTCATTTCAGATCATTACAAAAAAACCTCACGTTGCACAAGATGGCTGTTATCTGAGGTAGCCAAGGAAACAAAATGGTGGTGGTCTTGCTAAATTCTGATGAAACGAGCGTGGCTGCAGCCTCAGTTAGAGTGTGTTCATGTGAAACCCCGCCAGTTGCCTGCTCTTTCATCCTCCATTAGCTAATTAGCATTTAAAGCTGTTGAATGTGCTGCTGCTTTGCCTCACTACCTCCCCCACCTAATTGTTTCCATTCCATGTTAATCAAAAGGGCACAAAACATCGTGGTTATGTGACAAAGAGGTTTGCTAAAGCCCTCCATATTCATCAGGAACGATCTAATGTAGTCAGAGTGGACCTGCTTACAAATGCAATTAAATTTGAGCTTGTTGAGAAAAACAGGTATTGAATTAAGGAACTGTTAAGTGGAATTATGTGAAAACACTACGAGTGACAATGACGCCACACTGCTTTCAGTTAAGAGTGAAATGAGCCGTTATGCTGGTTTCTTAGTATGAAAGGTCTTGGTTACAGCCCTAGGGCATTCTGGGTTGAGGGACCAAAGTGTTTGACATGAGGGAGATCTGAGGGTGTATGTTCTTGTGACAGGTGCATTAAAATGCCTGTGTGGATCGAGTATCACTAGTTGGTTGCCTCAGGCCAATTTACTTGGAGTTAGAAGTCAGACAATTGTTAGACAAGGACTCCGCAGCTTCTACTTGCTCATAAACATCACTGACAACTGGCTCATGTTCAACACAGAAAAGCATCTGCAAGTGGCAGACTTCCAAGCTTGTTTTTAGAAAATAGATCCAAAAACACCTCAACCTTGCCAGCGTGCCAACACGTGATAAATCTAGTCGTCAGTCATGTATTTTAACCAAAGTGCATTCTTTTGCATCAGTTTTAACCGCCCATCAGTTTGTGTGTGCACAATTCAACCACCTAGTTAGTTCACTTAAAGGAATAGTTCCACATTTGTGAAATGTGATTATTTGCTTTCTTGCTAAGAGAATGAAACCACTCATCTCTGCCAGCAGCCAGTTAGCTTAGCATAAAGACTGAAACAAAGGCAAACAGCTAGACCTAGCTTCTCTAATGCTTGCTATATATTGTTCAAAGTGCAAAAAACATGTTGCAGTTTTACAGAAAGTTATGCCCTGGGCTATTTCTTCCTTGAGTCTCGTCATCTCTACCTTTAGTGAATAAGCAGATTTCCCCAAAATGTGGGGAAACCTATTCCTTTAAAATGTTTTAGCTACATGAAACGTAATTCAGTGCTTAAATTTCTTATAGACAGTAATAAGTAGTTTGGGGTTAATCAGTTCTTCTGGCTAGAGAATAGAAAACCAGAATGTGCCCAAACAATTTAAACTGAAGCATCTTTTTTTATTTTCAGGCTAGACGTACTGCAACGCTGCGATAATACGTGCTGAAGCCGGATGAGTGGGAGTTAAGGAGGCAACATGCTGTAAATGTGGATTCAAAACATTTTAACCACTATCCTGTTGAATAAAAACCTACATACGAAATACTAAACAGGAAAAGAAGTGAGGTGAAAAATTCATACAGCTTCACAGCTTCTTCAGAGACTGCCAATTCAATAAACTGCCCACTATTTAATTTGTTGGGATCAAGCCAGAGGGGATTCAACAATAACCAACTGTAATAATATGAAATTCACAAGTTCATTGGAAAAAGTAAAA